CCCGCCCAGCACTGCTTGCTCTTCCCTTCCATAGCGCCTCTGATGTCATGAGCTCTGTGAAATCATAGCCGTGGGCCTGACCCTCATTCCGGCTCACTAGAGAATTCCGTTGCTGGAAAAGAGAGTAGGGAGTAGCCAGCAGGGGACAACAGAGCCTTCTAGGGGGACCGTAGCGGGCCGTCCTGTGGAAAGCAACACAGATGACTTGGGAGTTTGTGGAGTACTTTCGCATTTATTACGTCCTTAGATCCACGTAGCAACCAGGTCTCAAAGCAGTAGTGTTATTACACCCATTATATCGATGAGGAAACTGAGGTCCGCCACGGAAATGACTCAGCCGCTCGAGATCACACGGACACTAAGGGCAGAGCGGGACCGTTGATGAGCTCGTTGGTTCTAAACGTCGCATCTTCCCACCCTCCCGTGCAGCCTTTCTCAAGGGCCAGCGGCTTGCACGGGGTGAGGCCCAGGCCAGATGTGGGAGTGAGGCCCAGCGGGTCCTGGCCTGTGCGTGACACTCGGGCCCATTGAACATGAGGGCGGGGACGAGGTGTAGGTGGAGGGTGGGAAAAAGGTCCATGCCATGTGCGTGTGCGTGTGCGTGTGCGTGTGCGTGTGCCGATGAACACATAAAAGGCTTAAAATCTAAACAAACCCCCAAACAACCTCCCAACCTATAACAAATCTAAACTGAAGGATTCATGTCAAGTGCAGAAAATGTAAACCATTAGGAGGAAATCATGCCAACTAACAGATGGACAAGAAAATTCCCGTTAAAATTATCCATATTTTTAGCCTGTTTGATAATAATTTATTGAGGAAAAAGGTTTCTTTGGATGCAAAATCATCGCGAAAACCATCCCAAAAAACAATAATATCGAGACGTGCAACCACCACTGAACCATCACAGAGACGACGAGAACCCCTGAAAACTCAAGAAACCTGCCTCGCTGGCCCGATGCCCACCCTACCCGCGAACCCGGCGGGCGCACCTGTCGGCAGTAAGCGGCTGTGGCTGACTGTCATCTGCTTCCTGGAGCAGAGATGATGCTTAAGGGTGCGGTGGGGTGAGGTTGGGAGGACAGGCCTGTCCCCCGAAAGCCAGAAAGAGACA